TCATTCATCAAATGTGTTAGGAGAGCATGACACAGCATAGGGTAGAAATCAGGCGACGATCCGCCCGATTTAAGCCTATTTGACAAAACAAACACCCCCGGACACAACACATTATAGTAGATGCTTAAAGTCGAAATCAGACGAACCATAATAAATTAGGATATTAAGGATATAGATTAGTTTTGAGAAAAGATACTTGGGACTATTTAAAATCTATTACAAATTTTCCTAAAGCATCTTAAAAGGAACTAGGTGTAAGTGGTATTTCGTATAAACAAAAGTTGCATCAACTTCCAGAAACGTGTAAATAATCTACTTAATCATAAAGAATTGAGATTTAATTGTGAAGAAAAAATAAGGTCTAAAATGGTCTAACTATCTAACATAATGCCGATTTACACAATGTATTAGGTTGGCGACTAAGTAATTGCGGAATTTTGTTAGAAAATCAAAGACAATTTTATTTTGTAATAAATTTTCCATTTTGATCCCAGACTTTTTGTCACCTCTCAAAGCTGCATTATCATCTGACTTTCATAAAACTTCAAGTTTTTATTAGCAAAACCCTGAATCAGGTACAATTTAACACAATCATAATCATAGAATTGTTTACCATTTAAAGATTGAATCAATTCAATTAAGCTGAAAAACACATTTACTTAGTTGCCATCCTAACACTTTGCAGCATTTTAAATTAATTAATTATATATTAATAATATTAAATTTCAAGAACATTTTAGATCACACTCAGATGAAATCAAGGGGATGCTGTGAAAATCAAGAAATCTGGTATTGCAACCCTCCTTATAACAAAGGGTATAATAATGCGATTAACTATATCGCGGTACATATTTGTGTGTAGCGTACTCCCTACTTTAGTTCCAATTCATCGAACAAAGCCCCAGAAGCTCTCATACAAAGAAAATATAATAAAATGAATATATTCATAAATGTTTCTGGCAAATCTAAATAATATATACTACAAATAATAATAATAATAAATACTACAAATTTTATCATAAGATGTTAATTAATAAATTCAACTGAAATCGCGAATTAATATAAAATGTATTACAAAAATTAAATTAAATCAATACAATTACATTGATTAGTTTCTAGAACAAACACTTCATTTTCGAAATAAACAGATAAAATGTTATCTAAATAGCTAAATCTTATTTCAAGTATATTTATATTTTTTTATATTTCTTATTTTTACATTTCCGAAAATTCGTGCAACTTACAACCATTTATTTTATTCTGTCATAGCCTCGAAAAAAATTAATATAAATTAATTATAAATACAATATAAACGTTCAAAAATATATATTATATTTTTCTCAAAAATTGCAATTTAAATATCAAAGGGTTGCCTTTTTTTCGCTCAAAATTCTGCTACTTCTCCATGACGAGTATATTTGTCAATCATAGTTAGTTAACGAGAAACTAAAAAGAGACAAAAATCGCTATAAGACTTAAAACAAATGCAACCAAAAAGTGTGTTAAGTGGATAGACTAGTGTAGAGGCTTGAATTTTAGGTCATTTTTAAATCATTGTAAAAAAACAATACTTTTTTACAATCATTTTTTGTAAAATATTTATCATATCAATGTCACAAGAGCATACAAAAAAAGTAAACAAAAAGATAATTATTTTAAAAATTAGCAGTTGTGAACGTGGGGGGTCTCAAAAAATTGACACGTGATCACGATTGCAATCTTCCTAGTAATCCGAAATGAAAAAAAATCTAAAATGATATCTCAATGGCATATATAGCGATTTGAATTTTTTTTGACAAAATGAAGACTGCTTGAAAAAATGGACCGTTTTTCTTCCTACACTTTAGAGTTTCTCGAAATTTTTAAAAATGGTAAAAATTAAAGTTTGAGGACGAGGCTAGTATACCCTCGAGAAAAGTCTATAAAAACCTTTAAAAATTCCAAGTAAATCGGTTCAGCAGAATCTGAAAAATCGTGGGCATTAAATTGAAAAAGTCAGTTTTGAGAAAAAAGCGTTTAATGTTTCGAAAAAGAAAGAGAAGAGAATTATCATGGTCAACCAGGTGTATCTCCAAAAATAATTTAAATTTAAAAAATCCTCCGGTACACATATTCTTAAATAATTAAACTTTGAAAATATGAAAAAAAAAGGTTTTATTATTTTGAATTTCTACACTAGAATACCCCCTAAAAATTCAAATTTGGGAATAATGCTAGTATATGCTCGAGAGAAGTCTACGAAGAAGATTCTCTGAAAATTTCAAGTAAATCGGTCCAGTAAAACTTGACAAATCGTGGGCATCATATTGAAAAAGATAGATTTGAGAAAATCTAATAATAATTTATATTTAAAAACTCCTCTGGTACACATATTCTAAAATAATTAAACTTTGAAAATATGAAAAAAAAATATTTTTTTGAATTTACACACTAGGATACCCCCTAAAAATTCAAATTTGGGGATGAAGCTAGTATATGCTCGAGAAGGTCTATATATAACAAAGATTATCTGAAAATTTCGAGTAAATCAGTCCAGTAAAACTCGAGAAATAGTGTGCATTGTATTGAAAAAGTCAGTTTTGAGGAAAACGCGTTTGAAGTTTCGCAAAAAGAAGGAAACAGGAGAGGATTATCGTAGTCAAACAGCTGTATCTCCGAAAATAATTTGAAGTTAAAAGATTCTATTCTACATGTATTCTTCAATAGTTAAACTTTAAAAATGTGAAAAAAAAATGAATAGCCCCTTAATTTTTACTAAAGAGTGGTTTTCCACAAAACGATGTATAACCAAAAGAATTATACTAACTACCAATAGCTTATTGTCGGCAAACTTTATCTATTATCGCACGCATAAAGGCAAAGAAATATTTACATCTTTACTACAAATAATTTTTATAATCGTTTGCAATTTCTTTTTCACTCGAGCGTATTCCTCCGGCTGCTCTAAGCAAAATAGATGTATTCAGCCATCTTGTAAAAGCCGTCCAGGAAATTACGAAGCGTCTCATCTCCGCTTTATATCCGGAGCCCGGCAACGCGCTAACCCAAACCAGGGGGCTTTCATGCGCCTGAATAAACGCCTGCTTACTTGCACGACTTGCAAGCAGTGCAAATATGTTAGAAACACCTCTACTTTGTATCAGAAGATTCAATAAAAAATCTAGTTGTAATAATCGACTTGACCAATAGGAATTGAGACTCAGCTATTTAGGTAAAATGTTCAACTATTCATTTCGAAACCCAAATTGTCGTTTTCACTAAAAAATAATCAATAAAATTTTTAATCGATGTATTTCAAACATACTTATATCCAGGGCCGGTTCTACTTTAAACGCGATGCATGCAAAAAATGCGGGCGCACGCCTTAGGGGGCGTCAAGACGAAATTTGGATATGAAATTTATAATATAGCTTTTTCAATATCATTCAAGAAATATATATATAAGAAACAAGGATTTAATTTTTTTGAATTTCTACACTAGAATACGCCATAAAAATTCAAATTTGGGGATGAGGCTGGTATATGCCCGAGAGAAGTGTGCATCATATTGAAACAAACAGTTTTGAAAAAAATGCGTTTAAAGTTTCACAAAAAGAAGGAAACAGAAGAGGATCTTGGTCAACCAGGCGTACCTCCAAAAATAATTTATATTTAAAAATCCTAGTATCAGAGCTCTGATACACTATTTTTATTTTTTTGCATATTTTACTAATCTTGAACAATATTTTTTAAATTTAATTTTAAAACAATCGAATACACGATGGAAAAGTATAGTTGAATACATACACTTCGGCCCTTATAATAGGGGGGGAGGGGTTGCCAGAAAAAAAATTGTCATGCGGACGCTGAGTACCCCAAGACCGGCCCTGCGTATATCTGTAATTGAATCAATTAAATTAAACTGTTTATAAACAACGAAATAGTTGAAATAAATTAAGTTATACCATAATTCATTTCAACTATTTCGTTTTCTAAAAATGTATTGTATTAAAGTGCAAACGTCAGCTGTAATCTGTAGCTACCTACGAAAGACAAAACGTATAGATGTTCGGCAAAGATTCTGATTAGAATCGCTTAAGCGATATTGAATTAGAATTCAATAGCATATTTTATGCCCATAATATTTTGGAATGTTATTTCAGGCATTTAAAAAGCGGCCCAATCGATCTTTACCAACCAACAACTGATATTTTTCGAACGGTTTTTAAATTTTCAAAATCAGTTGAAGATTTTGCTAAATATTAAAAAAATTGCACTTTTTACTCTTTGTCAACTTCGCTGAGACTTTAAAAAATTGGAGAACAGTTCAGCCGTTTTTTTTGTTTTGAAAACATCGACGTAAAGTCAAGAATTCACTCACATCCACATTTTTCAAATCAATTTAGAATCACTTGAAACGTTAAGAAAATATAACATTAAAAAATCGGATTTTCTAGCGATAACATAAACTTCTCTTTCGGAAATTTACAACAGATAAAAACACTATTTTCTAAGCCGTTTTTGAGATGCTTTTATAAAAGAAATTTTTATCTCAAATTTGCAGATAAAGACAATTTTATGTTTCATTTTTTGATTTTCTTGAAAACCAATCAAGATATAAAATTGAATTTGTTTCAAAATGTTAATCACATCCTTATTTATGATTAACACTAACCACACAATTTCCTAACCCGTTTTTTACCGAATCGAGAACCATTGCAAGTATCAATTAATAAATATTAAGTTGCAAATGTTTAAAGAAAAATGGATTATACAAAATGGTACAAAAATGCATTAATGCTGTGAAAGTAAGAAATAATATAAATAAATATGTTTAACAAATTGGAAGAAACATAGTCATGTAGACTAGAATATCTCCATAAAGAGATAAATCAATATTCAAATATTATTCTCTGAAAAACTACTGTAATCTACAGAAAAAAACTTTTTAATTTTTTAACAAATTTATTAAAAAGTTTCAAAATGTAATTATCTCATTTAAATATAAGGTATAATACATGCTATAAAATTTCAGTACCAAATATTCGACTTTCATATTTTTTATAGGATTTCACTATATCGTCTAAACTTTGATCAGCGTCAATGATTAAAACTGGACTTGGGAGATTCTCAGGTGGTGTTTGTATAAGCCATTGTTCATAACTTTCATGAACCTGGTACAATAAGTAATATTTTCATGTATATATATTTTACAAAAAAAAAAAATATAGTAAATTTATTACTTGTTTTAAATATTCAAGTGGCACAGCCATTTCTTCAGAACGACAACGTTGAAGCATTCTTTTATGTACAATTTCAGGACTACTCCGTAAATAAACTACCAATAAAAAATATAATGAAATATTAACATTATATAATCTTACTACAATATCTACAAAATTCACCAATTAGATCCAAATTAATATTCATAGACTTCTCAATCCAATCGAACCAGCAACATAACACGTCATATTCAACATCAGTCAAATAACCATATTTATAAGAATTTTTAGTGAAGCAATTTCTGCTACTTTGAACAGATCGTTCAAATATTTGGACTTTGGTTTCAAGATTAGACGGAGGAGACGTTTGTAAATTTAATCTGGATAATTGTACATAATGTTGAAATGAAAAATTCCATTTATTCAGATCTTTGTATATTAAGTCTAAAAGATTATTTCCTTTGACGTCACACCAAGATGAAATTGGTTCCTAAAAGAGGAGATTAAAGATATTATTCTTGAAAAAAGCTTGAGCTAGTTGAAAGGAAATATTGAGTACAAAGCTCCATGAAATTACACTAATCAACGCACAAGTATAAAGATTCATTGGCAGATTGAGCAAAACATAGCAGAATTGTTAAATAGCAATGCTATAATATAATTGTTAAATAACAACTCTATAAGGCCAAAAGAATTTCAAAGTTAAAAAAGAAGCTTAGACATACGAAAACATTTTGTTCAACTTATATTATACACATACAGAGGAGCCTCGCATAAAGTCAAAAAATTGTCAGAAAAGTTTATTATCCAAAAATAAAATAAATTTGTTCTATAGTAAGAAATGTTTCACCTAAAATAAAATTAATGTTACTTATTTATGAAATAAATAACTCATCAGTTATATTCAAAAGAGTAGGCTTGCTCCCTTCTTTGCCCTTTCAGTTCATAAATTCTTAAAATAACTGTTGATAGTTGTTCATTTTTTCTCTCTTTTAAGACCTCATAGTAAGTTCACCTCGAAATTCGAGATACCCAGTTGTAATACTGTAAATAATTGTATATTGACACGTCTCAAAACTTACATATGGTAAGGTGTCAAAGAAGTATTTACAGACTTACAGCTGGTTATCTCAAATTCCGAAATTCTTACCTAATTTAAGCTTAAATGACTGGACTATCATCATAATGATAAACAAAGGTATCACTATACAAATCGTCTACACTTCCTTCCATTTTACTAAGAGTCTTTTATTAAAGTAGTAGAAACTACATGATTGGTCTTCTCTATCTCGTTATTTATAATCCTTTTCCAAAATTTCTTCAAGAACCTGGTGGCGAGGCATAAGCTAAGAGCAAAGGTGAACTTCTTTTTCAGGTAGTTAGTTTTCACAGCAGTGGCAATAATAATTTCAGAAACCCACTCTTTGAATACAACGTTGGTCAACTAACCCTTCTGATTAAACGAGCAAATTATTTTATACCAGAAATGACAATGATGCATCACATTGTGTAAAACGTTGTTCATGTTGTGTGAGGCACGACTGTACTTACATTGGTAATAATGCTATATGATTTATACTATATTCAAATTGTTACATCCATACAAACCAGCACTTAAATAACATATCAAATAATTACATTTTATAAATTCATAAATTACAAATAACCTATACCTATAATAACAACTTACTGGATAAACATCAACATTTGGATAACTCTTATAATAGTCAATCAAAGTGGATTTTCCAGCCCCAATATTTCCTTCAACAGCTACTCTAAATGGGGTCTTAGACATTTTAAACAAATTATTATACTTTGAAACACAAAATCGTGTAATTGTTTGTACTAGTTCCTTTTTATATGGAATGATCATCGGTGGCTATAATAAGTCTTCATATTCATAATTTGTTATGTATATTACTGTACCTAAAACTTATTTAATACGAATTAAATATTCATACTCAATAAAGGCGCGCAATTGAACCATAACCTGCAAATTTGACATATATTAAAAACACACAGGTGGTGTTAAGCGCTGTGAAGTTGCCGCTTTTGATTTCCAAATATTGTAAAGGTTTCACACACAAAGGTTCATTTTGAAAAAGGATAATTTGAACAATTGTTTTTTGAATGATAGCTATTTTGAAAATCAAGAAGGTTGCAAAAGAGGAATGGGGTCTTAAAAGAAGCACTTAAGATATACTGTATAATGCAATAGTTATACCAATAGCGACCTATAGTGCTAACAAATTATTTTTAACTTCTTGTAGGGCAAGTTATAGTAATCGAAAATGAAAATTTTTGCATATCTTTACGTTTCAAAGGTTTCTAAACATTTTGGCATACCTTAGAAAAAATGGATGTATGTGTGTGTGTGTGTGCGGATACAAAGTTTCGTCGACGATTTCGGGAACACGGTTCAACCGATTTTAATTATTCAAAAAACATTCGATTTATATTAATAAGGAGACGTACTGATTAGTTTTTGGCAAAGCCAGGTCTAGCCGTTTCAAAAATACGGGGCAAAAAGTGCCGAAAACGGTAACTCAGTTTTTAAGGAAACGGAGTGTTTTTAGTAATTCAAAAAACATTTTACTTGTATTGATAAGGTGAAGAACTGAGTAAATTTTTGGGAAGGCGGGTCTAGCGGTTTCGGAGATCTAGTAAAAAAAAGTAAAAGAAAAAGGTCATTTGGCGTTAACATCAAATTTTCAGATATTTTATGGAGAGTTTAATAATGTGTATCAATTTTCTTTACATTTCTATAGGTTCCGTAACGTCGCTCCCTTTGATTCCTGGATCATTCTCACCATTTGTCATTTCCAAGTTTGTCTTCAAGCTGAACAATGTTTCAGCTCTAGGTAGCAAACAAAAAATCACATTAGAATCTCCCACAAAGATCACAGGAATCTAGCAATAGTCAATTCCTTCATCAGCAACTCGATAGGGATTAAAAAAAAAAACATTTATTTTTCTTATTGTGATGGTTTAGCAACTCCAGCATATTTACTCTTTCCATTATAAGCATCTAAATTTTATCTGTTAACCAATACATAACTGAACGCTAAATCAAGTTATAATAATTATTTAATACTCTAAGACATGTGAATGTTACTAATAATACAATTTATGAATGAATTATATATTTATTCACAGATATTGATCACCTTCAGGTGAATCTTAATTATAATAATATAAATTTAATACATAACAATATTGTTATAGAATTATTATTTAGAGAGTCTTATATCCTTTTAATCCAATATCAATATCAATTAATTAATAAGATGGAGCAATAATCACATATTTAAACCATTCATTCCAAATGTAAAGTTCCACTCTTTAAAAATACAATCACACATTAAAACAATCATGTTTATTTCTTAACAAATACACCCATTGGAGTGGAATCTTTCTAATCATTAAAATAATATAAATTATATTAAAATGATATAATTATATCGAATTATATAATTATAACATAGTGTTAATTGCGCCATTGTACAACAGAAATGGTCACATTAATTCCCAGATTTCCATTGTCTGCAAATAATTGGGCAATAGAAGTATCAAATACTAAGCAGTCTGAATTCATAATTGCAGAAGACACCCCTTCATGAATAGATCGCGGCATTGCTTCCCAAGTCAAGCGACGACGATGTCCATTCAGTTCAAGCCTAACACAAAATTCAGCATTTAGAACTGATATCAAACCAGAAGATGATAAAATCTACAGCATTTATCACTGGATTTATTGTTTTATTTTTATACCTATATGCAAAATTTTCTGCTTGCTTCCTGGACCCAAGCAATTGGACGATGGCAAAAAATTGTTGAAGACCATCAAACTTTTCTTGTTTTTCCAAAACTAGCATAAAATGATGGCCAAAGCAAGACTGCATCATAACCCAGTCCACAGCTCCAGGCAAATTGATATCAGTAGCCATAAAAACTATATCTTCTCCTAATAAAACAAAGTTCATTTAAAGTATAAGGCATATGTATCTGCGTTCCAATCCCCTTATCAGGTTTAGACATACAGATGCTCACAATTTTTTAAATAAAAAAAATCTATCCAGTAATTATAATCAATATTACATTTTGAAAGCGTAGTTGTGAAACTAAACTAAAAGCATTCACAAGACCCAACACTTTTGAAGAACCATATTTTAGATATGCGAACTACTAATAACACAACTTTATTAACATATGCCGATGATGAACCTATATTCACTTCAGCAGAAAACACCAGACACCATTACAACAAGAAGTAATAATCATGCAGAAAAAAAGCAGAACATTAAAAAAGCTGGAAACAAAGGAAATGTTCACTCCTCTTGCCAACACCACCATAAACAACCAATCCATTCCGTGGAAAAGCAATGTTAAATATCTAGAAATACTATTGGATAAAAAACTACAGAGCACATAAGGACAAAAATTTTGCCAAGCAAGCAAACTTCTTTGCGCATTATACCTTTACAAAACACTAACAATGGGATAAATTTATTAAATAAAAGAAAGAAAAAAAAAAGTCACAATGATTTGTTATTTGCTATTAAAAACTTTTAAAAATAAAATATTGAAAATGATTTTGGAGGAATAATTTAAAAAAATTAATCATGAAAAAGCACATCTTAAAAATCAAAGACAACTATGAAATTACTTAGCCAATTCTTAAGAAAAATTGCACAGATAATAGCAAGGTCAATATAACAATAAAAAACTACCAAATTCTATAATTAAGCAATAAAAAATGGTATATTTATTGGTACATGTATAATACATGTTTAATTACAATTAAACATACAGACATTTATGGTATTTAAATCAAGTTTAAACTAATTACAATTACTCCTCCTTTTAACATTTATATATACTCAGTAGTATCACTTTGTTGACCAGCAATTTTACTGAAAATTTATCTCACATCACTGGCTAATATTTCATTTTTGGATGTGAAAGTAAAACAATATAAATAAACTTTAACAAGTATGATAAGCAGTATAATAACAATCTATGTGTAATGGTACACAACAGCTTTTACAAATATATCTAGTTTTGGTCAGCAACGTTCGATCCTACAAGCACGAGATAATTTGCGACCAGTCAGCAGTATTCGGCCATAAAAACATTAGTTAACTTGTGACTGGTCAACAAAAGTGTTAAAACTAAACTTAAATGCATTTAAGTTGCATGCATTTACATAGTTTATTATAAAATTCAGTGATAGCATTAATATCAATTACTTGGAGTGCAACGTCTATTATAAAGTTTTACATTTATCATATAATAAATAAAGCGTTTACTAAAATAAATATAAAAAAAAACGATAACTAAAAACTTAAGCTCATACCAAATTAATTAATCATAAAATTAATTACTGTATGCCATGCAAACATGTCTTAATGTTTACCTTGAAGATTGGTAATAGATTTATGCGACAGCATCAAATGAGGCATAACTTGTTCTAATGATCCTTGCCACTTGCAAGAGGCTCCTGGGCAAGGGCAGGAATAAGGCCGAAATTCACAACCTTCCTCATGATCAGCCTTTTCAGTGTGAATCAAGGATACAGTGCAACCATTTCCAGAATGTTTGCACGGAAACATCACATTACTAGCCACTTTTTCCATAGCCAGATTTCTTATGTTTCCTACATATAGAAATTAATACATCACACGATATTTTAATAAATAACAATGGAGCAGTTGCTCAGAAAACAGAAAATTCATCAAAAATTAACAGAGATTTCAATGTGTCATATTATTGCTTGAAATACAATGAATAATAAGTGAGACTCAAAATATTAATTATTTTGCCTGCGAGATGTTGATAAATTACTTTGTGCCATGTTCTGATGCTTGGACTTGAGAACTAAATTTTGTATTTCTGAAAATTAAATTATTACACTGACAATGACATCAAAATAACAGAAGGTATAACTCAAAACAATTGTATTGTTAATTTCCAGTTGTAAGTAATTAATGTAATTTTTAAATGAAACATCAAATTCTAGTAAAATTAAACTTAAGTGCTTTATTGGATGGCAATTTTTGAACAATTGGTTTCCAATTATAAATAATTCATGTTGTTTTGAATGTGACATCAAATTCTGTTAAAATTAAACACCAGATGGTTCCACTATTATGAATATTTGAAGTAATTTTTAAATAAAACATTGAATTCTGCTAAAATTGAACACCAGTGCTTTAATGCATTGCAAGTTTTAAACAAATGGTTCCAATAGATAAAGATAAGATAAGATAAAGCATCGAATTCTGCTGAAATTAAGAACCAGTGCTTTAATAAATGGCAAATTTTGAACAGTTTATTTCACTTTATAAACGAGATAATTTTTAAATGTAACATCAAATTCTGGTAATATTAAACACCAGTGCTTTGATGCATTTAAATAATTTAAGTAATTTTTAAATATAACAACTTCTGGTAAAATTGAACTACCGTGTTTTCATTGCATGACATTTTTAAACAATTGGATACAATATTATAAATAAATCAGATAATTTTTAAAATAAACATAGAATTCTGGCAAAGTTAGAAAATATTAAATATGCTTTATTTCAACATCATTAATTACCTAAAAGTACAATTTCTCCTTTACCATACCTAAAGATCCACGACATGTAGGGCAGCATACCAACTTTGGTCTACAGTTGGAGCAAACTAGATGGCCACTTTGACACTGAAGAATTGGAGGCAGGACATAGTCGAAGCACACAGGGCACTCGAACAAAGATGCTAAATCAGTTGACATGGCAGCAGATGCATTATTACTCGCAGAAGTACTTGCTGTTCCTCTACGACCTGAGCTAGTCCCCTTGCTCATCTTTTTACAAACAGATTGCTATCTAAAACTACACACCCAAAATTAAATTATTACACTGACAGTTGAAAATAATCAATGAGATCAATTGAGTTCTACAGGAAATAACAGAAGGTATAACTCAAAACAATTGTATTGTTCGTCGCACAATTGTTTTGAAAAGATAGTAGCGAAAAATTAAACAAACAAAGATACTACTTCAGAGACTTCAGATACATACACTTGCACAAGCAAGATATCTTTTGGATAAAACACAAAAAATAAAATACTCATAAAATTATTACAACAAAATAGAACACTTTAGCAGCAAAAAATTAAACAAACATAGATACTACTTCAGAAATTTATAACATACTTACACAAGCAAGATATCTTTTGCACAAAATACACAAAAAATAAGATATAAATAACTGAACTCATAAAATTATTACACTAAAACACTTTAAAACGATTTTTTAAAACGCCAAAGTCGTTTTAAAAAAAACTCTAAAATCTCATAAAATTATTATTTCGAACTTTACATGTTTGCAAATGAACACAGAATGAGTGCAGCAAACTTTGCACTGCCATCGGCCAGCAGTGGCAAGTCGATTCGATACATATTCGATACTCTTGGGACACGATATCGATAACTTTATATTGCTTAACCTACAGTGGCGCCAGTGACTTTTGTCATTGTGAGGGTAAGCGCATATCGAGTTACTGACACGGCGGACATTTCAGCTCTGTGATGATTACACATAGATAAAAGAAGAGTATGATCAATGATTACACACATACACACATTATACTCTTCTTTTATTTATGATTACACAGGTCCACAAAATAAAAATGTCTGTGAGGGATTTGCGGTATATGTTTTCCAATATAGTATTTACCGCTAAACACAAATCTAAAGTCAATTATTTTGAATTAGGTAAACAGTGAATATTTTTATTTTCCAAATAATTAAAAAAGTCTATGAATGTCTAAAAAATCTTTTTTGCTTTTAATAATTTCTCAATTTAGCTATGGAATCGTTCAAGTATTACGTAAGCAGATTTAGTACAATCATTTACCCACCCCCCCTCCCCTTTGTCAGCAAAAGTAAGCAAAGTTGTCACCAAAATATCACATAAATAAGCAAATCAATATTAGTTATAAACCCGCCCTCCTATAGTGCTTACGTAATACTTGAACGGCCACTATTGAGCTTATCGTAATACTATTATATTTCAGTATGTTATTTAAAACTACTAAATTTATCTTTCTACAAAGCTTCTTTGTCAAAAAAAACTTTTTTCAACATTTAGTTACGAAGAAACGGCCCGACCAATCGTTACCAAAAACTAATCAACTCGATTCTCAACGAATAACTATCAACTGCTATCAACAGTTTTTGAATTTTTAAAATCGATTCAAGATTATAGGCAATATTACTGTTGTGCTAATCACAAAAACGGCTTAGCCGATCTTCACATAAAACTGACAAACGTTAGTTGCGTTATTGAGCTACATCGAATGGCTTTTAAATGTTTGAAATCGGTCTAGCCGTTTTTGATAAAAAAAAAAAGGTCGACGAAAGGTAAAAAATCGTCTCGCATGCACACAGACATGCTTTTTCCAAATTTGGTCTCATACGATTCAGAATGAATTGATAGGTCCAAAATACATAGAATTAGCAAATCGGATTTTTTTTGCGAAAATAAACTTTTTTTTATTAGTTTTTTTCTGTATATTGTTTTACAATTTTTTAGAATAGCTGAATGATGACACGCATACAGCGTTGATACAAACACAATTATTAATTTCAGGTATTTATCGTTTTTGATTTCGACAATTGGGCTGAAATGTTGCCGAAAATCTCAGGAAGTACATATATATATTCATGCTTATTTGCAGCTAAATAGTCAAAGTAAAAAACAATAAATAATTTAAATATTTATTACGTACGTTTCGACCTTTCGACATTAAATTTTTGTCATAAATCAGACTTTTTGTGAATCCTTTTTGGTAATGATAAGGCTTTAGCTCAAACTTGGGCTTTGTTTTCCATTTTCAATTTAGTAATCATGCAAAAAACTACATGCTATTATTTACTAAAATTTATTTTATTCAAAGTTTTTTTGTTGGTATGTATTGATATTTATAATATTAAATTTACTATAACCTTTAATTTTTTTTATGAACTATTCAACTTGCTGAATGATGACACACATACAGTATCAAAACGTATATAATATATAGGTTTAATTATTTATTGTTTTTTATTTCGACTATTTGGCTGAAAATAAACATATATATATATATATATATATATATATATATATATATATACACATGTGCGAAGACATCTGAATATGCAAGTAATCTGTACTTTACTTCAAAAAAATCGCATTTATCAGGAGATAAAATATATTTTCAAATTCATATACAAAAATGATTACACTAAATTCACATGTGCTTAACTGATTTAAAAACTAAAGGAAATCAACTGAGCATATTCACTGAATATTACGATACAGAACTTTAAACCTGGTTACTGATGGAATATTGCAGTAAACATAAAAATAAATGATATATATTAATCGAAAAAGTATTATCTTCTATTTTGATTTTAGATTTATAACTTGATACCACTATGAAATTAAGGAACATAAAAGTATATGTACATAGTAAATTTACATAAATGTTAATAAAGATACTTGAAATGAATATCAATACAAAACAATCTATTAAATAATTGTATGTACAATGTCTCAATGTTCAAAGAAATTAATATAGACTTTATCGGTGTTGATTGTATAATTCTATTTGTAACAATTACATTTCATGACATTTCATATTTTACATTACAAATAGAGTTTCAAATTCAAAACATTAGAATATTGGATTGTTACGTCATTTGCCAAAAATTCCTATATCTCGCATGCATTGTATCCCAATCTTTACCTTAAACAGAAAAACAAAATGCAAATTTTATAAAAATGTTAGAAATATCAATAAATCATATCATAACCAGGACACATTTTTGTTAAGACAATATCAAAAAATGTTACAAAGTAACATCAATACCTAAAATTTTGTTCGAAGTTATTAATTTTGTAACTTCTGATTTATATATATTACACGCGAAATGAATGAGTTATTCATAATTATTGATATTTTCTAAACTCTATAATATATGTGGATAATTATTGAACAAGTGGCACCATACCTTGCACTTGTCACTCACTTTGAGTGCAAGCGCTAGTTCCATCACCAAGTAACGCCAAGCAGTTGTGAACACAGGACTCCACTTCCTGTAACTCGTGCATTTTTATTGCACACAGATTACCATATTTATTATGACTGATAGATTAAGATTGTGATTGGGTAAAAAAAAACATACACTTCCAGTTTCATATGTATGTAAAATAAAAAGTTTACAATGTACAAGATCGCCTATAAAATATATTTTCTCTTTTAAATATTTCAAAGTTCTTAATACTTAAAGAATTTATTTTCCACAATATTATCATTGAGTTTTTAGGTTGGAAAATAAATCCTGTGTTCACTATCACAGCCACGTTAGGTTCCACTAAATATTCTGATGATTTGGTCAATAATTATCAAACATTACTTAAATGCACGACTAATTAAGGTCAAACGTCTTGTTCGGCAGGTTCATCGTGCAATGGTGTATTACCACCGCCAACAACACTTTGTTTTTTACCATTTGATTCATCCACAGCATTCTCACTATTGTTCATTTTAGTCTGCTCTTGTTTTTCTGCCTCGGGCACACTAGTGTCGATGTCTTTTTTTTGTTCTGTACTCTCAGTATTAATTGGTTCAGACTTATTGCACACTTCTTGATTATTTTCCTGTTCAGTTGTGTTTGTCTTATCATTAGAATTGGTTGCTACTTTTTCAGACTCAACAGAGTTTTCTGCTGGTTGATCTGATTTACTGTCTGATTTCCTTTCTGGGCTTGAATTAGTCCAACGGGAATTGCGCCTATTTTCTGAGGATTTACCCTTTTCAAATTCATCACTCTGCTGTCTACTCCATTTGTCTTGTCTCCTTGAACGAAGACTATCATCTTGTTCAAACTCCAAATGAGGTGGCATGTCACCTCCAAAGAATTGTGGTCTTTGCCCTCCTTCAAAACCAGGTGGTCTAGGATTATTCATGAACAGAGGACGTGGTGGTCCATTCATGCGCATACCTAAGATAAAAAATTTAGTTTACAAATAGAATATATAATTAACTTCCTGTGGGATAAGTTATAGTAATCGCAAAAAAATCGAAAATGAAAATTTTCACTTATCTTTACGTTTCAAAGTTTTCTGAATATTTTGGCATACCTTAGTAAAAATGAATGTAAGTGTGTGAGTGAGTGTGTGGCTACAAATTTTCGTCGACGATTTCGGGAACACCGATTAACCGATTTGAATAATTCAAAAACATTCGATTCGTATTGATAACGAGACATGCTGATTAATTTTTGATGAAAACAGGTCAAGCCGGTCCGAAGATACGGGGCAAAAAGTGCCAAAAACGGTAACTCAGTTTTTAACAGAACAGAGCGTTTGATTTAAATAATACAATAAATATTTCACTTGCATTGACGGAATGAAGAATTGATTAAATTTTAGGGAGGGCAGGTCCAGCGGTTTCGGAGATGCAGAGCAGAAAGTAAAAAAATACCATTTGGGGGTCATAAATGATTGTTTTTATTTTTTACCCAAAGTCCGCGAAATGGTTGAACCTGCCTTTACCAAAACAATCACCAACACTACGCGTCAATAGGGATCAAATGCTTTTTAAATCATTTAAATCGGTTGATCCGTGCTCTTGTAGTGGCCAAGAAAAAATTGTATCCGCACATATACATATACGAACTGATACACACACCTACATACAACAAATTTTTTCTAAGAATGCCTAAATGTTCAGGAAATATTGGTAAAGATATATAAAAGTTTTCATTTTAGATTTTTTTGTGATTACTCTAATTTATCCTATGAAAAGTTAATATTTTACAAATTTTAATAATCCTAATAATTTTATAAATAAAATACTGATGAAGCAAAAAAATAATTTCACAATTTAATATAAACAAGAGATATTCATACCTCTAGGCGGTCCGCCACGCATCATTGGAGGCATTCCTCTCCTGGGCCCGAAAGGAGGCATTTGAGAACGATTCATTAATGGAGGACCCCTGGGTCCTAAATTATTGAAGTTTCTAGGTCCGCCAAAGAACTCAGGCCCTCCATGCATTCTAAGGTCAAACTCATCACGCATTGGAACTCCACCATTTAAACGATCTAAGAGGAATTCTGTGAACAATATAGTATAAAATTAAACTATATAATGATTATTAATAGATAACAAATTGTTTCAACATTAAAAAAAAACATATTTTAACTATTAGAAAAAAATGATAGTAAAAACAAATAACTTTTGTTCATTAGTTGTTCCATTAATGACTGCCCAAAAAAATAATCTAAAATTATACTATTTATTTTACTATAAAGTATATGTAACAGTTTTTTATACTCACCCTCTCTTCGCATGTCATACTCGTACATATCCATTTCATCTGGTCTCATTCTTGGATGAGATGGCATCATTTCTTCTGGATAATCGAAAGAATCCATCATATCAGGATATGGTGGAATTGGTTTGCCCATGTCACGTAAGTTATCCCCAAAATGCATGCCTGCTTGTCTAGCATCGAGATCTCTGAAGTTATTATCTCTGTCATTAAAAGACGATTCCATCATGTCATTTGGAAACAATGGTCCTGGTTCTCTATCAACAAATGGAGGCCGCCTGTCTCTATTATCAAATCCATCCTGATATTGCATTCTGAAATCTCTGTTATCTCTACAATTTTCAGGAAATTGTCTTGCATCTCTCATGTTATCGGGAAAAGGCCTCATATCTCTATCAGCAAATTGTGCTCTTCCTCCATCGCGCATATCTCCAAACGGCACAGGATCTCTCAATAAGGGTGTTCCTTTCTGATCCATATCAGGAAAATGGTCCGCAGACTGTGAACCTCCAGAAGGGATATTTCTGCTATTGAATGATAGATCATCACCCCTTCTTCGATCTCTGTCTCTTCTTTCATATCTGTCTTCACGGTCCACATTCTTCATTGGACTCTCTTTTGCCAAGTCTCTCAATCTATCTTGCAAGCTTTTCTCTTGAGGTTTATCATTATTTTCAAGATCTCTATTTTTTTCATCATCTTGCCATCGATTAGATCTCCTATCCCCATCTCTGTCACGATCACTATTACGATCCCTGTCTCTTCCTCGATCTCGATCACGATCGCGGTCACGGTCCCTATCTCTATCCCTGTCTCTGCCACGACCCCTATCGTCGTATTTCTTTTCGTAATTTGATGATCTATTTGGCTCCTGCTTTTTATTGTTTGTATGTAATGGTGGAGGCGGAGGGAACATAAACTGAGGTAAATTGTGTTCTGCTCTGAATGAAGCTAATAGCTGTTCGCTTGTCGGAGCTGGCTTATCACAGCTTTTTACCATGTCATCATCCATATCAATGTCCATATTGTCATCATGATTTGATGCACTAGATGTGACAGGCATAGGAGAACTCTTCTTAGGCTGCTGTATTGTTGTAGGCGTCATGTTGACTTGGCGCAGAGCATGCTGTTGAGCAAGTGCAGCTTGAATGTGGGGTGGTACTCCAAATGGCACTCTCAGTAATGCTTCAGACATGCCAGGTAACGTCGCTTCACTAGTAGGTGGCACCATAGCTAAAGGTGGTACCTGACCCCCTAGTTGGGGCATATTGCTTTTATCTTGAGCCGGAGTAGATGGAAGTGGAATAGAATTTACTAATCCTGAAGCAGGAGGAGGAAAAGCAGAAAGACCCATCAAATTCGGAGGTGGAACTGCAAGTGGCATTCCCATGTTAGGTGGCATCATACCTTTAAATAAACATTTAAAAGATAATTATTAAATAGGCATAAAGGTAATGATTTAACTAATTGTAAGTGATACATATTACTACTTGTAACGAAAATGAAATATGTAAGATGTAATAAATAGATAAATCAATGGTTAATAAGTATAACCTACCCATTGGTCCTAATAACCTTGGTACTGGAGGCATTGGGAATGGCGGAACAGACATATGAGGAGGGGGCATTGGTAGCATTGGATGTGTAGTTGGAGGTGGTTGACTTGTATCCAAAACCGGTCCTGTAGGTCCAAGAGGTAAACCAGGTGGAACTTGGATGAATGATATGTCAGATTTGTTAGCTTCTGTTGAAGCTTTAGCATTGTTTTGGGCCTGTACTTGCTCCTTCACCCACTGAGGCATAGTATCTTCATCTAACATACCACCCTCTTCAAGAGTTTCTAAATTAAGAGGAGGTTTTAGTTTTGACCATGGTATGTAGGATACACCCAATTCCACTTCCCAGTAGTCTTTCCACTCTTTTCCTTTCATTCCTTTACCTGGTGCCCAGGCAATCTGCAAATAAGTTTTTAAGTTTGAATTGTGAATGTTTTAAAAGAAATAATCTGATTCAAATAGTGATATACACAGTTGATATTGAAATAAAAATAATAGCAAGTAATGAAGATTTAGAAAAGAAGTAGGTAATAATATGGATAAATTAATAATTTACACTTACAGTAATTGCCTTTCCTTGCATCACATGGTGCTTCAATTTAGTTAAGCATCTATATGCATCTTGCCTTCTGTTCATCACAATAAATGCGCATCCACGTGGTGAAATCAAGTCAATCGAAACTATATCTCCATATTCTCCAAAAGTGTCAGACAGGTCTTCTTGATGCACCAATTTTGACAGATGACCTACCCACAAAGTTGTACTACACACTGCAAAAAAATGTAATGTAATTGATTGTTTGATTTAGCAATTATGGCATTTGTAAAATATCAAAAGCATAAAAAATCTTATATAAATTCATTTTAAATATCCAAACCAATTTTAGTAAAATTTTAAATTACCGCTAAGATATTCAGGTTTTACTGGAGGCAATCCACGTCTTTTCCGCTCACGTTCATGTTCTTGTTCCTTATCAGTGTCTTTATCACGATTCTTGTCTCTATCACGATCTCGATCTCTTCGATCACGAGACCTGGATCTTGATCGAATTCTTGACCTACGACGTCTACCTCTAGACCTAAAAAAATTTATATTAGTATAAAATAATACTTTTCTCAAATTTTAATTGAATAACTGCTAACACAAACTTGTAACCCAAATGAAACATTTTAAAAAAGTCATGGTAGATAAAAGGTATGCTAGTAGTATAAAATAATTTATTAAAATTTTCTCAAATTTTAATTGAATAACTACTATTACAAACTTGTAATACAAATGTACTCAAGAGATTTAAAAAAAAAAAAAATAGTTTCAGCAGATAAAAAGCATGCAAGTCATAATAAATAATTGTAGCATGTTTTGTTTAAATATTGTTTTCTGAGATACAACATAAATCATAGATGTTAACCTTGATCTTGACCGCCTTCTACGATCTCGAGAAGTAGATCGTCTTCTCCTATGTTTATCAACAGGAGATCTTGTAGCCGAATCATTTCCATCCAAATTGATAATCTAAATAAGAGTTTCATAAAGAATTTAATCAAACAAGAAACTATACTAAAGCTATGTAACTAAATCAATTACAAGTCTGCTAAGTAGGCTCACTGGGAAAGCATTGGCGCTCCTTTTTCCGAGCACTAAATAATAGCATTCACTAAATTGTTCAGAGCTAAGAATAAATATATATTACACCATTATAGACCTAATAGGTCCTAATGTTTATATTAAGACCTTACACAAGAGAAAACTCAAATAGTAATATAAATTCAGATTCCTTACTATATTGCTGGGTTCAGCTCCTATGAATTCCACATCACTTCCATTAGTATCATCTGCCACCGGTATGCTCTCCATTTGAGAAAATCCAGGCGGAGGTTGTGACATTTCTGCTTGATTAGACATATAACTATAAGCCGATACATCTCCTTCTGCTATAGATAAATCACATTCAGTGGCGAATGGTAAATTCTGTGAAATTTGAAAATAAACATTAGTTTATATATTTTATCATCATTAGTATAATCATTGTTCAATTTTATACAAAAAATTAATAATTAAATTTGTAAGATTAGAAATATTAAGATTTACTTACAGGTGCTAAATGAGCTAAGTGTTTATCAAATTCTTCTTCCTTTTTCATTTCCATTTCAATCTGTTTACGTTTTTCCTCTAACTCAGCTTGTGATTGAGAAGCCATTGGATTAAGTTGAGCTTGTAAGCGTCTCAAAACATCAGGATTGCTTTGCAAAAATCTGACAAAACGATATAAGTATTTTGTTAAAAAAAAAGATTAAAAGATTAAAGTGTATACTTATTACATATTTTAAATGCTTAATAAAAAGATAAAACAAAAAATTAATGTGTGCAATGAGTGCTTCAATATATAACAAGCAATAACCAACCTTCCTAATAAATCTTGATTTGGGCTTGGATTTTGTGAATCATCATCTTCCTCACTGTAGTCATAATCTAAAAGTTTTTTATCAAATTTAACGTCCGGCTTTCTTGCTTGCAAAAGAGTTTTACTATACTCAGGTTGTCGTAAAAGCAGCTGATGAATTTGCTGCAACTGTTGCAGTTGCTAAAAAATATTAAATAAAAATTAACATTCAGAGGACTATAAATATGTATTAAGATCGACTAAAAACTAAAATGCTTTAAGGTTTATTAACAGTAATCCAACATTAATGAAATGATGATGTTAAAATTAACCGTTTCTCAATAATTACATTATTTTGAACATCAAACTTACATTATTTGTCTTAGCTTGAGGTTCAGCGGATGCTTCAGCGTCATGTTTTGGAGGACCTTTTACAGCTGGAGAACTCTTGACCACATCTCCTAAAATGAATGTTGAATGTATTTTCTTTATATTATAATTAACTAGATAAAAGCTGGATAAGAAAGTTAGGTACAGAAAAAAATTGACAGAAATTACGTATTAAATGAAATAGAACAAACCATAAATATCTAGCCTTAGGCTTATTCTTATTATATTTAAATAAATGTGAAAATGATATATAATTACCATTAGAACCACTAGTTGCTGCTATTTCTTTATAGGCATGATGATTAGGATCAGCCAAATCAAACAACGGCTGTATAACTTCAGCTGCAAAAACTTTGTTTTTTTGCCACAAGTTCAAAACACGTATTATCTTGCTCTGTAATAATGGATAATAAATAATAGTATTGTAATAGTAATAAGAGTATTGTAAAAGTAATATTAGTATTGTAATAGTAATAATAGTATTGCAATATTATAATAGTATTGTAAAATGCAGATATACAATTAAGCTAGCATACCTTTTCTTCTGGGGGGCATTGAAATAAATTAATGAATGTACTGGTAATGTTTTTTGCAAACCGTGGTGCAAACACATCTTTGTCTGCTCCAAACTGATGTCTGGATTGTCGAACAATAGAGTCAATTACATAAAGCCCTGGAACTTTGTATTCTGGTTTACATTTAAGTATAAACTTCTCAACACTTTGTACTACATGCTTATAGAACTTAATGGCCTTCATTGCTCCCTTAGATATGGAGTTCATTTTAACTTTAGTTATCGGCGGAGCCTCGTCATACAGGGCCGTAAGCTAAAAAATAAAACAATCAGTTTTACAGACAAGATTGAAGTTACTTATAATTAGAGAAAAATAAAATTATTATAGAAATGTATCATTTTACTTACTTCGGCATTAAAAGCTTTTACCGCGTCCATTTTAATATATGATAATACACCTTACGCACTTATACTTTAGAATAATTAAATTTCCATCATTCATAAAAAGTACTCACGACATTAGAAAATAAAAGCAGTCAAACAATCACGTATTAGGACATTCTGAGGTTTTGATGTCAAAATGGCGACTATAGCGCATAGAAATTTTGGGTGCTTGTCATATAATCCAAAAGGTTTGAATCGAAGTTACCGTACTAATTAAAACCAACAAACACGAATATTTATTATCTTTCCGGAATTGTAATAATACTTTATGCCATTAATTTTGCTTAAAAACTTTATTCGATGAATAGATACGCTTATCGTTTTAATAATTTTCTATTATACCGACTAGCTCCTGAAACAAATGATTTGGGGCTAGTGCACGGATTTTGTTTACATCGCTAAAATGACGTTTTTATATCATAGTAGGCACTTATTACATAAATTTTAATACGATAACGTTCTCCGTTTTAAGATGAGTGATCGATTTATCGAAAGCTTTTAACTTGATTTTTAGGTTATGTGTTACTGTGAGCGAGTGTTGCCTCAGATTACAACCTGTCAACATTTACGAATGAACGATCTTTTATCTTTGATTTTTTTGATATTTCAAAATCATGATCATCATTTGTAAGAAAAATTTGCTGAAGCGACATTTTCAAATTTCATTTGATATACGTAGCATATAAATAATAGATAATTGTAATAATTTTAAAGTTTATTTTTAGATGATTACTTAATTGCATGGATAAGAAAGTAAAGTTTACGAATTGATTTATTTATATCTAACTTTATAATGGAGATGAAGCACCTGCCCGCAACTAAATAAGATTTTGAAACATAAAATTTTATCAATGACGTAGAATTATAAAAGATTTTTAAACTATATCAAAACTAGAATTTTATGCTGTAAAAACAATAATTAAACCAACGAATAAAATTCTGATATTAAATAGAAATTTAACATCAGAATTTTAATTAAAATAAATGAAAAAATGTATATAAAAAACAAGAAGTAATTCAACTATTTATTTATTACAAGTTTATACAAATTAAAAAAAAAACAATACAAAAGATTATAACAAAAATATAATAAATATATTTATTATTATTATAAATATATTTATTATTATATAATAATATATGTGTTGATATATCAACACACAAAAATAAACACATTGTATTTTTTATATGTATATATTGTTAATTATATATGTATTATCTAAGAAAATAATATTTTAATGTAATTTTTAATTAAAATAATATTATTCAATATATTTAAGAAAATAATATTGAACATTTTTATAAATCCTGCAATCCTAAACACTTTAATTCCATTTTCTCTGAAAATTTCTTCATTTAAGCTTTAATGATTTTTAAAATTGAAATATAATAGAATTTTTTTGAAACTTAGGTTTATCAAAAATCAAAATAAATGTTAAAATTTCTATTGTTTTTTTTTGATAAAAATGTCTTTTTTTCAATATATTTATTTATTTTAACCTAAAGTATCTTAATCTCAAACTTTTAAATAGCTTTTTATTTTTAAAAAAATATTGTAAATGTGTAAGATTAAAATCACTGAAAAAAATATGATATATTGATAATAATGTAGATTAATCTACTGTATTTTTTTTATTCTTTATTAAGAAAAATCTTATTCAAGTTTCTTTACCTTTATACTTTAAAATATAAGTATCGGCGATTTGATTGAATAAAATATATATTTTTTAAATGTTTATTAAAAAACAATAAATGATTATTTTATTAAATATTTACTATTTATTATGTACATTTCGACACTGTATGTGTGTCATCATTCATTAAGTTAACAAGTTCTAAAAAATATTTACAATTTTATAAAAACTGAAAAAAATAAAAATGATTATAACAACAATATAAAAAATATCAATATATACCGAACCAGGAAAAACACACAAAAATGAATACATTGTAAGTTTTTTAATTACAAAAGATTATAAAAAAATATACTAAAATAAACACATTATAATTTTTTGATTGTGATTGTTGCTATAATGGGGAAAGTTTCCAATATATCTCTAATGGAAATAATCGAATATATTTACAGTACCTACAATCCTAAACAATTTAAAACCTAGTTCTCTGAACACGTTTCTTCCTTTAAGCATTAGTGATTTCAAAAAATGTAATAGAATTTTTTGAAACTGAAAAATCACACATTAAAAAAATATATAAATTCTTTGATAAAAACATCTTTTTCTCCAATATACTTATTTATTTTGACGTAAAGTATATTTTTGCTCTTAATCCCAAACTTTTCTGATTAACTCTTATTTTCTCAAAATCACAGTCTGATATTATAAAAATTGTTGGTGGTCAAAACGTACAGTAAGATTAAAATCACTGAAAAAACATAATATAGATTAATCTACTGTAATTTTTTATTTTTTATTAGGAAAAATCTTAATAGAGCTTCTTTTTCTTTACATTTCGTAATATATCAGCGATTTAGTTAAAAAATAAAACTCTAAATTTCTATATTATTTCATTGAAGTTTTTTTTTCAAATTTTCTAAACTATATTATGTTTCCCTGGTTCACAGACCAAATCTTTCTATGGTTCGTATCAAATTTTCCTTAGGATATCATTATTATCATTTGCTATAAGGTTTATTTTACTAAAACACAATATTTATAACTCTATAAATTAAAGTAAAAAACAAACAATTTAACTAGAGTTAGTTTATTTTTATTTAGTTAATTTTGATGCTGTTTGTATATTTACTAACAGTCCGTTGAACTTCTGATCATTGGAGTGCTATTCAACCTTACACTTATTTATTTTAAGTTAAAATATCGTTTAAATTTCGTTTTATTGGCTCCAACGGTTTTATGCTTTCAGAGTAAAATAAACTTTAAATCTATCCTTTTCAACCATAATAAACGGGATAAAAAATTAAATAACCCTCGTAGAAGGGTCTAAATTTAGGATTGCATGTGCTTTTTAATTACATATTTGTAAATATAATAAAAAAAATAAATAAAAATTCTTAAAGGCGGCCAACTCTTACCACTTTTAGAGCTATGAAAAATAGATGTTGCCGATTCTCAGTCATACTGAACGTAACTGAAAAATTTCATAAAAATCGGTCAAACCGTTTCGGAAGAATAATGGGAGCATCATCACGAGAATTTTAAATATACATAGATATACAGTAATACCCCGCTTAACGCTGTTTCGTTTAGCGCTGTTTTTGTTTAGCGCTCTTTCATTTCAACCTCGGTTTTGAAAGGGTAAAGGGAAGAAATAATTCAAGAATCAGCGCAGTCTTTTCAATGATGAGCTCAAGGAAATAACTGAACAAGAAGAAAACAAAAATGTTGACGACAGTGATTCAGAGGAAGAGTAAAAAGAACTTTCCATGGCGTTTGTAAAAAGGAGTTTGTCTACCATAAACTAAAATAATGGATGAATTTATTGAGAATGTTCCGAATTTTGGCAGAAGGTCAAAAGCAAGGCGTGGTTAGAGATGCTCTATCCGTTTATGAAGAACTTTTAAGAGAACAACGCAAAAGAAAAAAACAAACAGAGAGCATTAGATTAAGAGTATGATTAGATGCTTTTGTCACAAAAAGCAGAATACTGAAAACGCGGAAGGTTAACTAAATATGACTGACTTAGAATTTTATTTGTTTTTTTTTTTTTCAAAAATATTCGTTTGGTTATTTATATTTTGTTTTTATTTTTGTAAGGGCCAAACTAACATCGAAATACCATATTCAAAAGAAACGCCAACAGCTGGAAATCACAAGAAGAAAACTGTACTGGTTGTTAAACCGAAAATCTTAGTTGAGCACATGGAACAAACTTCTTCTCTACAATGTCATGTTGAAACCAATTTGGACGTACGGAATACAGCTCTAGGGAACGGCACGCAAATCCAACATCGCCATAATACAAAGATTTCAAAACAAAATTTTGAAAGAAATTATAAACGCAGCCAAGTATGTCAGCCAGCCAAATTGGTTGGTTCATACAGATTTGAACATTAACACTGTTAAGGAAGAAATTGAATAGTTTAGTCTGAGATACAAGGATAGAATTCAGAACCACCCTAACATCATGGCCAAAAACTTAATAAAAAAAACATGGCATTGAACGGCTCAGAAGAAAACGGCCCCTTTTCGATATTCGATTTTCGATTTCGATTTAGTAATCCTATATTATGTATAATTTCTCGTAGGCTTAATTAAATATTTTCACAACAGGACTACATTTAGACATATCGAACATCTTTTTCCTTTATTTAATATACCATCAAAATTACTGAATGTTGTATAAGAAGGAAAGATTGTAACTCGCAAATGTAAATAAAAAAAAATTGCAAGGAATAATAATGTGGTAATTTGGATTTATTATTTATTTGGTTTATAACCTTTTAATTTATTTATTTGGAAATAATTTATTAAATAAAATATATTTTTTAAATTTAATATCAATTTTTTTCCAATATTTCCATGTGAAGATAGCCTCGTTTAGCGCTGTTTTGCATTACGCTCTACTTTGATGAAACGTATCCCTCATCTTAAACGAATTATTACTGTACATATACATATGTATAAATTTAGAAAACACCAGAGATGCATCAGCTTAATCAACACTTAAGTCCATCATAATAAATATTTAAGATATCACAAATAGCATATTTAATTCGGACCTGTTAGTATAAATACAAATATCTTTAAATAGCCCACAAATCTTTTCGACAATTCTCAGAGATCTAACTGGTGCTGAACACACGTTAGGCAGTTTCCTGCTGTCATTATCTTAAATTCTAAACATACGGTTAGAGTTTGAGGAAATACTTAGTTTTACTTTGAAACACACCACAGAGGTATACATTTCAAACATTGCGATCAAAAATACTATAAAACATAACATAAATTAAAATTTAAAAATAATCATTTGGTTTATGAGAATAGTGGCTGGAAAAATATAAAATGGATTTAGTGATTTTTGTGTTTGACGATATAACGTTCTGCACGTAGTGATAGTTGATATATGGTAATATTAATTGAAATTAAATATTAAACAAAACAATTAGTGTAATAGTTGAAACAAATTTAAATTCACAATTTATTTGAATAATAAATTAATGAAGTACATAAAAAATCTAAGAACTAAGTGCAACAGTGATAAAACAGGAGGAAAGAAAATTGGATGTGAATTCTTACTATTTTGGAGACTTAAAAAAAGTTCTTTTTTTATTTTATGTTGCGAATTTGTTGTAACAAATACCTAGCTATTAGGATGTTTAGTCAGTCTGCTTTTATATCCCTGATTATGCCTAAGTATTTCTGATGGACCGAATGTAATTTGAAGACTTTCTGACATATAGTGATAGTTGATATACGTTAATAGCAATTGATATAACAGCTAAATTCAAACATTACGTGAAAAAATTGGTACAACAGTTAAAACAAATTTGAATTCAAATTTTATTTAAACATAAACCACATAACGTACCAAAAAAATCTAAGAACAGTGATGTGTTGCAACTCTTCGTGGTAATGAAACAGGAGAAGAAGAAATTGGATGTGAATTCTTACTATTTTGTAGACTTAAAAAAAGCTCTTTTTTATTTTTATGTTATGAATTTGTTATAAGAACCATTTTGCTAGGTTATTAGGATGTTTAGTTAGTATGCTTTATACTACTGATTAAACACATAATTTCTGATGGACCGAATGCAATTAGAAGATTTTTTGACATATAGTGATATACGATAATAGAAATTGATCTAACAGTTAAATTTGATCATTACATGAAAGAATTAGTGCAACAGTTAAAACAAATTTGAATTCAAATTTTATTTAAACATCTTTAATCATCACAAAACGTATGAAAAAATTTTAAGAACTAAGTGTGTCGCAGGTATTTGTGGTAATGAAAAGGAGAAGAAGAAATTGGATGTGGATCGTTACTTTTTCGTAGACTTAATTTTTTTATGTTATGAATTTGTCATAACAACCTCCTTGCAATTATAAACATTACATATGTAATGTTATTATTATTATAAACATTACATATGTAATGTTTCAATTTCATATGAAACAATTGGTGTAATAGTTGAAATAAATTTGAATTTACATTTTATTTGAACATAAAAAACACATACAGTTCAAAAAATCTAAGAATTAGGTATGTTGCTGCTCTTTGTGGTAATGAAACAGAAAAAATAGAAAATATAAAGTGGATTTTTACTTATTTGTAGACTTCAAATAGGTCATCAGAGTAGATTTAATTCTTCTGTTAAGAATTTGATCTAACAACATTCTTGCTAGGGTGTTAAGATGTTCAGACAGCCTGTTTAAATATAACTAAATATAACCAAATAGAATTTGATGATTCTTTAATCGAATATATTTCGACACATTGCGGTAGTTCATAGTAATGATGTACCATTTTATTAAACAGTTTATGCTCGAGTTCACATTTTATTTGAATATTAAACTCATTAAATACTGAACCGTAACAATTTGTCTAAAATACATTCGTGCGGTTCGTTTTTGCTAAAAGCCGATCGAACGCGAACGCATTTCAAAAGATTAAAATCTATAATTATAACAAATCTTGTACGCCAAAAATACTCAACATAAACAAACGCAAAGAAACCGTGTGTGTGACTGAGTGTATGTGACTTAAGCCGTGAAACGTATGTATCAGAAGAGTTGAGTGGGCCAAACTAGGAACAATGAGCCTGCGCCGAAAGTGGGAGGAGGTAGCCGAAACTGGTGAAATAAACTGAACATCCGAAACGAATTCAACATTCCTAGGATACACCACGGGATCCCGACCGATATACGAAATGGTGCTGGCGCAGTTATGCAAAGAGAAGAACGCATCAGATCCTAAGAGTGTGTGTTTTTTTACATTGCTGACCCAGTTCAAAACGCACGGTCATGTGTCAACCGCGTGTGAATATCATGTCAATGTTCTATCGTGATAAATTAAAGTGCAACATAAGACACACCTTTTGGATACGTTAAAATGTCAAGAATATCCGGTGGCAGCATGCTTAGAACTAGAAGAAAGGATGTCAACGTTAAACCAAATCGAAGGTACGTTCTACAAAAAACAGTAGGAATTAGAAAACAAACTATCTAAACCAGTAATGCCCAAAGTGATCCATATAGACCCACAAGGGTCCATGACAACTTTTAAGGGGTCCAACATAAGCCAAAGAAAAATTCGGCGTCAACGAACTTGCAATGGGGGTTTGCGGTAGTGGATTACATACACCATGTTAATATATATTCACCACGAGGGTGGTCTAAAAACTTCCTGACCTCAACACAGTTTTCATTTTTGTATGTACCTTTATTCATTTTTATATGCATCTTTATACATGTTTAGTGAAACCTGTTTTTGTGCAATCCATTTTTATGCCATTTTGTTTTTGTGTGGAAAGTTTTCAGACCACCCTCGTACTATCTGTATAAAGTCATATACAATTTCTATCCCCATTTTCATACTAGGTCCATTTATAAATAATAAAAATGAATATCGGGTTAATAAGAAGTCCATGGGAAAGCCCAAGGTGTCCACGTATGAGGTTAGATTAAACCTGTGGTCAGGGAACCGGCAAATTCCTAATACAGTAAAATTGAATTGGGGGTAAAAAGTATATATTTTATTTGCTAAGTAGTAGTCCGTATGGGGGTAACCTCTCTTTGCCAATGGGGGTAATATCAACTTAGACAAAAATATTTTGGGGTAATGATTGAAAAAGTTTCTCGGCCGCTGGATTAAACCCCATATTTAGACCTATGGCCATTCAACCTGATTAGAGCCTTTTTCTTCCAAGGTTTTAGGTTCGATAACCGTCTGGAACAGCCCGATGTCAAGCAATAGTGACATCTGTTTTTACTTGAAAATACAGATAACAAAGTTTTCAAGCTAAAATATTCCTTACTCGAAATTGCTGCTTCCAATAAAAAAAGTCATTCCTTAGTAGTATCAAATTCTTAGTCAGCATCAAATTTTAAAATAATAAGTTTATCAAAAAGATATAGAATAACCGTTGGGTAGCAATCTATAAAGTCAGATCATTAAAAAGTGTTCACAACAAGTTTGTAGAGCTATTAGATTTTATTTACTGTTAATAATATAACATTAAATAAATAAATCCCAATTGATTTCACTCATTGATGTGATATATGTATTCTCAGGAATATCTTCATATATAATGTTTTTTTCATATCACTTAAAACCATAAATTTATATTACTTAAATTATTTGAATCAGGAACTACATTACTACAATATAATTCTGTAGAAGCTAAGCAACAAATTATCAACAAATCAAAAAATAACAAACAATTTTATATTTATTTGTTATAAACAAATTTGATGTATAAGTGCAATTCAAGTTTCCTTCAAAAACTCGAAAAAACATTTTTTTTTTCGATACATACAAAGAAGTAAATAAAATATTATTAGCTATCTATACAGGGACAAATGACATTATGATAAAAAGATAGTGGAAATTTATTTATATTAAATAGGCAATTTTTTTATTTGTTTTTTTTTTCACAAATTTTGTCTAAGGAATTCCTTGCTAAGAAATTAGGATGTTTAGTCAGTCTGTTTTTATATTTTTGACTATTTCTGGTAGACCGAATGTAATTTGAGGAATTTTCATTCGAATTGGAATGCTATGATATGAATAATTTTGTCTCATCGTATTATGTAATAGTCTGGCTACAGAAACAGGTGCGCTTAGAATTGACAGTTCTTGTAATAAATCCAAAATACTGTTCCATATAGTTATGTCTCAAAATATATCATACGAAAAATATGTAAAACGATCGCCAATGTAAAGGTCACTCAAACTTTTAGGTAATCAAATAAGATAATTTTAATATATTTTAATATTAATTAAAGAAAGCAATTACGTATTTGTAGTCTATTATATTGGCCACAAAAAACATGCATCTCAAAATTTTTGAGTCAGAAACAAACAAACCAAATTAACTTTGATAAAAATATACACTTGCGTTCAGTTTTAATCAAGTTTTTATACACCTATTATATTAAAATAATAATAATTAAATTTAATCTAGACTAGACCGAAAATCTTCGAGAGGAATGATATATGAAAATGAAGAACTACGACTAAGGACAATAAATATCAACGCTGAAGTAGAGCGAGGTAAGAATGCGTGCAGAATTCAAATTAGATCGAAAATTATTAAATGAATATTAAAAAAATAATTAGGAAGTTGATTCTTATATTAAGTATTTATATATCTTTTATTTGATAGGACAGTCAGACATAAAGAAATTAAGACGAGAAAATGAGCAACTTCGTAGAGAAATTTGGTCACTACGAGAAGAATACGATAAACTAGATAACTTACTAAGACATGGACGTTCTATGAGATAATAGCCAGTCAGACTCGGTATATTTTCAATATAAATTATATATCATTATAAAAACATAAAATTCATACAAAGATTTTTTTAATGATGCTAACTATATTGTTTTCTGATAGGAAGATGGTGATAACTGCGATTCATGTTCAGGAGACGAAATGGAAAACCAAGAATGCGTTGAAAATGATGAAAATATACAAAAAACAAAACATAAAGGTCTACGAGTAAACTTCGATCATTTATCTATAGTTTCAGAAGAAAATACAACCAATAGTGATTCAACAAATGCGCACGATGAATGCAGTGGTCGTTCTGACCAGAATTCATCTTCTAAATATGATGCGACGACGGAATTAACGAGTGAATCTACAACAACTGGCGACACAGTTTTATTAAACGGTGGGTGGGATTTTAGTATTGCAAGTAAAGCTCACCCAAATCAAAATCCAGAACAAAATGCATTGATTTTGCAATCTAGTGATTCTGTTGTGAATAATATTAATCCGGATTGCAGTCCCGATACTTCGAATCATATGAACAGTCAAATTCAAAACTACATTTCTACTCCATCCACTCACGACGGAAGTGGTTATGCGCGCGGAGGACCCGATATTTTTGTACAGAATTTTCATAATGCATCATCATCGGTGCCTAAAACGTGCCAAACAATTTGTTCATTCCAAACGCATGGAAATATTGAAGAGCTATTGAAAAATATAGAACAAGCCCCTGGCGATGTACAATTCCAGCCCTTCGCGACTGAGATTGCACACTCTGAATCTAGTAATTTAACTCGCTACAGATCAGAGATAAACGTTTTTTTGCAAAATTCGCAAGAAGTTGCAACACCACCTATCATTCCAGAGCCCATGATGCTACTACCAAAACTTTTACCATATATAGGTTTCGAAAATTTGGTTGACTTGCCAATTGTCTCAAGTGGTCTAGAAACACCCCAACTGCAAACACCTATTGTAATGAACGCTCAGGCATCTAATGGGATATTACCATCTTCTACTTCTACACATGTTATGGATAATGCTTCGATTCCTGCATCTCCACCATGCGATGTAGAAAAACCAAATATCTCAAATGCAATCGATGCAAGTGAAGCAGCGCAGAATGAGCAAAACTCGGAGCATTTAAAAATTAAAACACAAAGTCCGGCAACCCGCAGAAGATTATATTCTGCAAATAATAAATTGTCGGTAAACAACGATCGCAGCGGTCCTATGCCTCCCGATACTTATCATGCAAGTAGGCAAAGATTAGGCAGTATTAGTAGTTCTTCTGAGAAAAATGAACTGAAAACTGAGCCTGCTAAGAAGTCGAGAAGAGTATCAATATATTTCAGCGGCCGAAAAAAGAACAGCAGTAAAAAAAATCATAGTAAGGATCCGCCAGTTGTTCCTGGAGAAATAAACGATCATCCCAAGATCACAGATAGTAGGAGAATGTCGAAATTGAAAGTAAGTGATTCGTGTCGCAGTACAAGTAGTAAAACTTCTCGAAAAGGCAAATCCGTTCACGAAGGTTCTGGACCACACAGTAGCATTTATTCGACCCAAGAAAGTTGTCCAGAAGGCACGACGTCGCATTCTGAGCGTAACAGCGTAGCTTCATCTCGAGAATCTTCCACGAGTTTGAGCATGAGGTCTCACAGATCCCATCGAAAGTTGTCGGCTGGTTCCATGCATAATGGTAACATTCCTTGGTGCGGCTGCTGGGGTAATGGGTGCTTGTGATGCCAGTAAGTTCAAAAGTGGTGAACTCTTTCGCACTACAGACTCTGTTTTCAATTTGCCAGAGAAAAATTTATTGTACAGAAATACCCCGCTCAAATCGGGGGTTACGTTCCATTAAACTAAAGCGTAAAGCAAAACAGCGCTAAACGAGACTTTCTTAACATGTTAATAATGGGGTTAGGGATAACTGGACAGAAAATTGACTATGTAGTGAAGAATTTAATAAGTGGATACAGCATCTACAATTCATCGTCTCGCTTTTGGCAAAATTTGGATCATTTTCAACAAATGTGTCCATAATTTCGGTTAGCAATATTTACAAACTAAATGGAAAGTTCTATCAATATTTTTGATTTCTACATTGCTTCTGTTCACAATTAGAAGTACTAGCTGCTATTTTTATTTTAACTGATTTTACATCATTCATATTTACCTAATTTAAACCGTTTTTCGCTATTTCCACAATTTCCCCATAATTTGGAAAATCCCCGGATAGAAAAAAGAGTGCTAAATCGAAAAAGCGCCGATCGAAGCAGCATTAAGTGGAACCTTTCTGAATTTCTTATAGAACAATTGGGTTCTTCATTCAACAAAAGTACTGTTAAAATGATGGATTTGCAACGCAAATATATTTCCGTATCATAGTATTATTAATAAGTAAGTACTGTACAAAATATGATAATATGCTTGGACTAGTATTTGTTATACTAATATTGTATCGTGATTCTCACTGTATTGTGATAAACTGTAAACAATAAACGCTATTAAAACGTTATATGATAGTTATATTTTTTTTACATCATACCAAAATTAAAGTTCAATTATTAAAAAGTCTGTATTTTCTATTTTTACACATTACATTACAATATATTACAAATTATTTTTGGGGTTGGGTTTCTTTGCTTTACTGGAGCTTCTATCATTTCCTACAAAATAATACATACTTCAATTTAATGTGTACCGTATTATGGTAATTATAAACAACATTACTAAAATTAATAACAATTTACTATTTACTATTTTGCAGAAAAAAAAAAAACTATAACGACTTTTTAAATTAACACTTATTATATTACAAAGGGCGATCCTTATTCATATATACCTTAATATTCAATATAATTATAGAATACATAAAATACGTAATTTACAAAAAAGATAAAAATTAGTTATCAATGTGATTACTTTATATGGCGTTTATGTTTTTTTCGTGATAAAAGTAAAAGACTGTATATTTAATTTATCGACACAAATCTCAATATCAACAAGAATTTTGCCATGAAAATTAATAAAAATAAGAAAATACGTTATCTATTGATATATATATATATATATATATATATATATATATATTTATATATATATATACCGTAAACTATATATATATATATATATATATATATATAAATATATAGTTTTACGACTAATTTATCATATTTTATAAATAATAATAAATATATTCTCTTTAAGTTTTAATAAATACTAAAGTAAATGATATGATGATTAAAACATTAGAAATTGGAACTTCAAATATGTTTATCTGGGTGTATCATAGAAAGTAACATTCACACTAATGTAAGTATATCCTAATAACAATTTAAGAACTTTACACAACATTTTATGGCAAATATTCGATGAATATACACAAATGTTCGTTATGACGTTGATCAATAATTAGACATTTAGTAACATTTTTGGCCTTATTATTCAAAAAGTTAATAAATTAAAAAAAATGTTAGTAATGATTAAACAATTCTTCGCGATTGAAGGATAGTCAAGTCATTACTAGAACATTAATCATGGTGTGAAATTTGGTGTTTCGTAATAAAAATTTTCTATACTCCACCAAGACCCAAATTACCTAAATCTTCATATCAATTTCCAACCATAAGCAATTAGCCGAGTTGATGAAGGCCAAAAAAACAAAGAAAAAATTGAAAAGTCCTTTGATACAGTTCGAATTTTGTTCTTTTTCATTATATATTATTCAAAATCAGAAACATTTCAGAAAAAGGATTTCGTTTTATTGTTCAAACATTTCATAACTGCCATTTCCATCAAAATTAAAAATAATAGTATTTGGTCTAGAGTTAGAATTATTAATAATAGAATTGATGGATTCTAGCAGTTTGGCTACTTTAGGACACATTTCCTCCTTATGAATTGTTTCTGAAGACTTTCTGTGTAAAACTGTTATTGACTACTAAATAATTAAAAACATTTCATAAAAAAATAATAAGTATTGGAAATTGAATTGGTGGTGTTATAATATGACAATATCATAGCAGGCACTTATAAACACAAAACATTAAAAGTGTCCGCAAAAACTTGGTTTAACAATGAACTAGTTGAGTCTTCTATAAACCATTCATTTTCCATTTTACCGCCATCACAATGAATTTGTAATTTACCTTATTGACACAAATAAAATGTACGTATGGAAAACTGTTTATAAAAGGTATGAACAATCTTTATGATTACAAAAACAAAATAGAATATATTTAGCAACATAAAAGTTGTATCTACTATTACAATTTCTACTGAGCGCATATATAAATGGAAGAGGAGCGAATATATCAAAATTGCCTTCATTCATATATTAATTCAAGACAATGAGAGCTGTGTAATCCAAAATCTAACAAATGCTTTAAACATTAGATCTCATCATATCACACAATTTAACAATGTGTCAAAATCTATTTAGAGCTATTCATAAAATGACATTATTATAAATAACTATCATTAAACACTCAACAATTACATATATTGCATAACGAGCACTACTACTTTATTTATATAGTATTCTAAAATGATTATTGCCAATCAATATAATGAAAAATATTTGATAACAGTACAGATCAGAAAAAAAAAATGAAAATGCTATTTTTGATGCATAGACAACTGATCAATGATGCTTGTAAGCTCTAAAGACGATATAAACATAGATAAATAAATTTATTCTAAATAAATAAATAAATCTAGTTTATAGTATATATCACAATATATGTAACTAAAGAATATATATATATATATATATATATATATATATATATATATATATACGATATTTGTATATATATATTATATATACACATATATTTATTTAAATAATTAGGTAAAAAAAATTGCAACAAAAAAAGTAACTATAAAAATTTTGTAGAAAAAATTTGAATTTTTGTCAAGAAATACTGCAAGAATTTAATCAGCCAATAATATTTATATATTGTGGCTGGTATTTTATATTAATTATATTGTTCTAAAAAAGTTGATCTACAAATAATTTTTTCTTGTCCTTAGTTGAAAACTATATATATATATATATATATATATATATATATATATATATATTCATTTTATTAACAAATAATTGAAATATGTCCAACATTATTTACCCTAGTCATATTTATAGATGTTGATTATTCAAAATAGCTTTATACTATTCTAAGTATTACTATTAATAATAATTCGATTATACAAAAATAAAACATCAACTGTATCTCTAAAAGTTGCTAGAGATATTCGCGATCTAATATTATTTAGTCCCTAAGTATAAATAGTATTATTTAATAATGACTAGGTAATTATAATTTTAATGAATAATAAATACCTAACAATTTATTTTGAATAAAATCTTTATAAAATGAAGAAGAAAGGATAATGAAATAAATTCCAAGATTTGGTGACTGTGTAATAATAAGGAGCTTGTATTTTTTGCAAATTCAGGTTATCGTTCCTTTTCAACATATTTTCAAAATAATTGCATATTATGTTGGACAAAATTAAGATTTCTCAACACATTTATACTTAAAATTGAAACAGAATAATTTTTTGCATTTGAATTTAACACATATATTTGTTTAAAGATTAAAGGTCCTCAATATGTAACCCTCCCTTTATATACCTTTATATAAAAAAATCTAAATGAAAAACAAAAGAAAACTTCAAAGGCAAAAAATATTGACCGATTACCTTACTTAAATATTATGTTAGCATAGAAATAAATAATATAACACGACTCATAAATACCCTCTGAAGCGCGTTATCATTACATAAATATTTCATCACTTTCATTTCAAATACACAAAAAAATGATATTCAGTGTTTTGCAAATAAAATTTCAAACCCTGTCCAAAATCTCTGAATACAATATTCGAAACAAGATATAAATAATATTGTTTGCCAAATACATATGCCACAGCTCAAAAACATATTAAAAATCATTAGAAACAATTAGCAACTGCTAACAAAGTTAAAGTGAACAATGGTGTTAGTACTTTTAAAAATCTTTTCAAATAATATTTAAACCATATAGATTAAATTTTACCAAAAATAAAAAATATTTTTCTCAACAATTTGTTGAAAATATATATCAATAAATAAAATTGGGATGCCCGCAGAAGCCCGACAAACACAGATCATTGCATATTGAAATGTATATCACATTGTAATGCAAAATAATAAAATATCCTACTCTATTTTATTTCTAACAAGCTATTATTATATATTATTCAGCGTTCACAAGCGTTATCAACACATGTGCATATGTAAGTTGAATGAGTTTTGTACAATTTAAAAATAATTTTTGATGTTTTTATTCAAACTATTTAGTTCAAACTTATTTTATGAAAACCACTTTTAAATATTTTTCAGATTGAAAGATGTGATTATAATTCACAATGTAAATTAATTCAATGAATATTATTTACTGGTGTTTGCAAATTAGCATAATAACAAGACGATTCCAAAAAATTAAATACCGAATTTATCTTGAAGCATATTGCTATAAATGCAACACTATTTATGTATTTTCAAAAATGCAAAGATCACTATACAATAGAAGTAATTATGTTTCCATTAAATCTATAAATTAACAACAATAAGAAAATATTTAATTCATTAATTCAGAATATAAAAAATAAATTTCATATTAACTCCATTTTAATAATTTATAATTTAAAAATTTTAATCTCTAACCAATGAATATTTCTCATTATATTTTGAATAAGCAGAAGTATTGAAGAATGTTATTTGCATAACATTTAATCATATGATCAACAAAGATGAAGTCATCGATGACTCATCACACCTACATGTTGAATAACGAATAATCTCACATAGACTTTGGATAAAATGTTTTTACATTTACGATTCTGTCAAACCTTTATCATTTGTGTCCGAGTTTTCTTTATTCAATTTTTTATCATCGTTTTCTTCATCTTCTTCCTCTTCTTCTAGAAGTTTACGAGCCAGCTTCATTGCTAAAAATTCATTGTAATGTTCTTTACGCTTCTTTTCAAATATTTTTCTTTGTTCTGAAACAAAAAACAAGAAAAGGTAAATGATATTTTTTCTAAATCTAGTGGAATTATGTGTAATACCTTTTTGCTCCTCAGTTTCTACCTCCTCGTCACTGTCTGATTCACTTTGCATGATGCGAGGCAGCTCTTTTGCACCAGCTTTTAATCTAATTAACAATTAATCATTAGCCTTTGCTTCAAAATTATTATTCAAGTTAGATTGATTGAAAATTTTTTGAAGTAAAACTTCTTTAGACGCGACTAGGATATAAAACTGTACAAATGCAACGGAAATTGCGTTACGTTCGAACTGTAAGTCATTCGCTCTCGATGAAATCATTTCAATACGGGTCGATTGTGATTAGTCGTCGTGTATGTGAATAGAGATCTGTCGTTGTATGCGTACCGGCGTCAACGTTGTATGCGTACCGATATCGGCAAGGAAATCGGCATTGATAAATAAACATTTTAAAGTTACATCATTGTACAAATCTTGATCTAATGAAAAATGCCTGAATCAGAAGAATATTTTACTCTGTTCCTTGAAAATAATAAAACAAATTAAACATTTGTGCCGTTTATCAAATGTAAGTTTGATTGATTAGAAATTATTTCTATATTATTCGTAGTTTCTATAAATCTTTGAAGTTATTAAAATGAAAAATATTTTTTAGGTAAGGCAGATTACAGCTGTCCAAAGAATGAGATTATATCGCCAGCGAAAAAGTAAAAAAAAAAGTACAAGCAGTCAATGAATGTATGTTAATTTTAATTACATGAAGTTCTTCAAACACAATTATTACATGATGAGTGAAGTTGCGAAAACAATATTTGTTTAGGCATTGTTTAACATAATCCACTGTGTGAATGAATATTATAGAATTTATTAATCAGCAATTACTTCATTTCTCTAATGATGGTTCAAGTCCTAAATGCTAATTACAATGACAAACCGATCATGTCATATTTGAAGTGTGATTTTAATTACATTATTGTTTTTAAATATTATGCATATTTTTAATGCTATTATAAATATATAACTTATAATTTATCATTATATAAATGTGTATAACGGTTGACACTAATAAATGTGTGCATTACGAGTGTTACCATATTACTAATAAGCATTATTCAAAGTGGTTATATGATGTATTTATTTTTATTTGTGTAAAGTGATTAAATGCTAGCATAAAGAGCTGGTATAAGCAAATAAGATAAATTCACCAAGCCAAAAATTGGAGAATTTGTTTATTTATGATCAACTAACCAGATGTTAATCTAATTATAATTAATCAGTAGCCATTACAGTTAAATTATTATTTCAATCAAATAGATGAAAAATATATTGTAAAAGTTAGGCACATTTTGTCGGAAGCTTTTGAATATTACCATAAAATAGCTTGAGAAAAACTTTTATTTAGAAAGCAAATAAGATAAATTTACCAAGCGAAATTTGGAAAATTTGATTATTCGTGATCAACTAACCAGATTGTTAATCTAATTACATTAAATCATCAACCATTATAGTTAAATTATTATTTAAATCAGATAGATGAAAAATATATTGTAAAAATTAGGCCAATTTTTAGACAAATCAGAAAGAGAATGACATAAATTTACAAAGCCAAAAGATAAAGCCTTTGTTTATTCGAGATCAACTAACCAGCTTTTAATCTGATTAAAAATTAATCAATAGCCTTTGTATTCAAATTATTATTTAAATCATATAGTTTAGAAATACATTGTGGTAATAAGAAGCATTTTATACCATTCTCATGGAGGCTTTGAATATGAGCAAAAATAGCTTCAGAAGAACATGTATTTGGCAAATAACAAGCAATAAGCTGAAAGTCGTATTATTTCTATCTACCTCTCCGATAATAAATCTGCATCCAGCTTTTTATCAGCTCCTTCATAACTATATGGTGTTTTAGGTTCATCAATTTTCATGTGACCATAATCTTTATCAGCCGGATGTAAAGTTGCTATAATATTCATCTCGTCCCATTGAGTTCCTTTAGGTTTTCTGTTAACATATACGATAATTAAAAATATTTATTATAAAAAGTAAGAAAATAATGAGGAAGGTTCTTACTTTGATGTTGAAGGTGTCTCTTGTCTATCAAAACTACTTGAGGTTTTAAGAATGCCTTTGGAAGGCCTCTTATTCAAATTATCAGCCATGTTAGATTTTTTTTATTTATTAGCAGTTTTTTACTAAAATGTAAGTCCACAAAAAATTACATAACCAAGAATTTTTAGTTAATAAATATAACTAATTTAATTTCAACACACTAAACTGCAAACAACAAATCGCACGTAATGTAATTAAAATATCGATGAATTACCGCCAAGAGCACATGCACACAAAATACAATCAATTTCGATTTGTAGAAATTTGTAGATTAATTATTAACTTTAATTTAACATACGTTCGTTTAATATTTAAGAGTTTCTATAGTCCATTATGAAATTTCTCACTTCCATCTCACGCGGAAGAAAAGGTAAAACTGAAATAGTTAAAGAAGTTCATGATTGAATTATGAATTTTGTTTGACTTGTCAGATAAATCGTTGCGGTAAGAATGTGACATTACATAAAGGTTTGTGTTCATAGAAGATTACGAATGGTTTGAGGATTTACTAAACTTTAGTATAGACGGTAGGAGACGTGTGGCGCTGATTCCTTCAAGGACGCGGGCTTCTCCGTGGTCTAGGTGTTAGAGCCAAGGACTTGCATTCAGAGTTTCCTGGTTCGATATTTTCTCGGACAGTCTGATGTCAAGCAAGATTTTCTTTTGAAAATATATATGATCGTATGATTCTAGCTATAAGTGTAAATAGCTAACTATAAATGTAACTAGTGGTGCATGGCATCGTGTCTTAAGGCAAATTGCAGGAACTTCCTGTACCAGAATTAAATATTCGAGAAAAAAATCAGTAATCAATAAATATTGATCAATGATTATTAACAATCATTTATTTGCCGACATTTTCAAGAATGCAGGCTTCCTCGTGGTCTAAGTGTTAGAGCCAAGGATTTGCATTCAGAGTTTCCTGGTTCGATATTTTCTCGGACAGTCTGATGTCAAGCAAGATTTTCTTTTGAAAATATATATGATCGTATGATTCTAGCTATAAGTGTAAATAGCTAACTATAAATGTAACTAGTGGTGCATGGCATCGTGTCTTAAGGCAAATTGCAGGAATTTCCTGTACCAGAATTAAATATTCGAGAAAAAACAGTGATCAATAAATATTGATCAATGACTATTAACAATCAGACATTTTCAAGAATGCAGGCTTTCTCGTGGTCTAAGTGTTAGAGCCAAGGATTTGCATTCAGAGTTTCCTGGTTCGATATTTTCTCGGACAGTCTGATGTCAAGCAAGATTTTCTTTTGAAAATATATATGATCGTATGATTCTAGCTATAAGTGTAAATAGCTAACTATAAATGTAACTACTTAGTGGGTGGCATCGTGTCTTAAGGCAAATTGAAGGAACTTCCTGTACCAGAATTAAATATTCGAGGAAAAAATCAGTAATCAATAAATATTGATCAATGACTATTAACAATCGTTTATTTGCAGACATTTTTAAGAATGCAGGCTTCCTCGTGGTCTAGGTGTTAGAGCCAAAGACTTGCATTCAGAGTTTCCTGGTTCGATATTTTCTCGGACAACCTGATGTCAGACAGTAGTGACATCGGTTTTACTGGAAAATATATATATGACTCTATGATACTATAACTATAGTTAAGTGTAAATAGCTATATAATAATGTAATATAAATATAACTAGTGGGGCGCATGACATCGTGCCTTAAGGCAAATTGCTAGAGCTTCCCGTACCAAAAATTGTATTTTTTTTAAAAACGATTAACATTTTTGAAAAAAAAAATACTCAAAAAATAGATTTTTGAGAAACTATAAATTATTGACAAAAATTTACTTTTTTAAAAAAAAAGACTTTTTGAAGAAAAGTTTTTCAAATCGCTGCATCCGTGTTCCCGAAATCGTCGACGAAAATTTGTATCCGAACACGCACACGCACACACACACACACACACATACATCAATTTTTTCTAAGGTATGCCAAAATATTCAGAAACCTCTGAAACGTAAAGATATATGAAAATTTTGATTTTCGTTTTTTTTTGCGATTACTATAACTTACCCTACGGGAAGTTAATAATGTAATATAAATATAATAATAAATAGTGTAATAATAACACAGACATGCGGCGCTGATTCATTACGCTGACATTTCCAAGGACGCGAGCTTCTCCCTGGTCTGGGTGTTAGAACCAAGGTCTTGCATTCAGAGTTTTCTGGTTCAATAATTTCTCGGACAGCCTGATGTCAAGCAGTAGTGACATCGGTTTTTACTTGAAAATGTGTGTAGGACCGTATGATTTTAACTATAAATGTGCGGCAGCACCCAAGTGCGGAAAGAGGAAAGACCAACGGCAAAAGTTCTCTTCTACCTTCGGCGGCCAACAAGGACAGACCAATACACAAATTGTATTAATATTCTATAATAATAAATAGTATTGAATAAAATCAATCTGTTATTATTCAACAATCACTTCAAATGTAATAATAACATAGACGTTATTATTTCCAGATTCATTCCGCAGATATTTTCAAGAATGCAGGCTTCTCCGTGGTTTAGGTGTTAGAGCAAAGAACTTGCATTTATTCCGCAGAAATTTTCAAGAATGTGGGCTTCTTTGTGATCAAGGGATTAGAGCCAAAAACATGCATTAAGAGGTTCTTGGTTTGATGATTGCACGCACAGCCTGATGTCAAGCTGTAGTAAAATCGATTCTCACTTGAAAATATATATGACCGCATGGTTCTAACTATAAGTGTAAACAGCTAACTATTTATGTAACACGGATGTGTGGCGCTGATTCATTTCGCAGACATTTACAAGGATGTGAGCTTCCCGTGGTCTAGGTGTTAGAGCAAACGACTTGCATTCAGAGATTCCTAGTTCGACATTTCTAAAAAATATCGAAAATATATTTGAATGGTGTGATTTTAACACTTACGGGACGGCACCGATTTCAAAACAATCTACTGTACCGGCTGTAAACTTGATTTCATTGTGTATGTTATGCAATTTGTTTGATACAAATTTGGGGTCATTAAAGGACATATTTTTATAATATCAATTTATTTTTGATCATTTTATAAATAATAGTAATGTTCAAAACATTTTTGAACATGCATATCGGGTTGATTTTGACATGTTGCTCAATAAAATTATGTTGGTCGCCTTCACAAAATTTACCAGTCGTTTTGCCACATTTAAAAGCGCTTGGTCGTTTTAAATATTAAAAAAAAAGACTATATAGCAAAGAAAAAGGCTAAAAATTCTACTAAAATAATTTAAAATTATTTTCAAAATACAACACATTTATCACTGCTATATGTAATTTATTCAACTTTTTGATGCAAACTGAGTCATTGTTTATAAAATAGCCTGTGCCTCGGGACAGATTAACTCCTTGGTGGACAGCCGTCCCCAAAGAGTTAATCATGATTTTAGTATTTTGTTCTTACCAAAATTGTCCACGCACCAGTTGATGATACAAAATTTAAAACATCTTAACTATTTAATGTACTAAATAAACAATGAACATTTCATTCACAATGGCAATAAACATCTTATTCACAATGGTCCATTTTTAAGTTATTTCAGTCTTCGATCATAGTCACAAGTTGTAAAGTTCATTGAAGTCAACAACTAAATCTATCACCATGCCTGGATCTGCAGCTTAACAATGCTATTTTGCCTAAATTGTAGATGCATATATCTACTAAACTTGTATCGAAAGCTTACATTGTTAAAGTGCTTTGAAAACGTACAATATCGACGAAATTTGTAACGTAGTGACCATAATACGTTTCCAACATTTCCCTGATCGTTTCTGCACACTGCGGTAATAACTCAATAGTGGATTCTATACGGTTCTATGCTTAAGAATTTGAAATATGTAGATGATATAAATTCTGATTTAAATTAAAAAAAGGTACAACATTTTGTTTGATACAACATGTATTTTAACTAAAAATTTTTAGTAAAAACAGTAGCGTGATACTGATATATTGCATTTTTTTCAAAACAACCTTAAAAACACTCAAATACCAAAATGGAGCATTTTATGACAATGTGCTTATATATCTTATATAATAAAAATAAAATTCAATATCAAGCTCTTTAAAATAAAAATAATAAATTGGTGAGTCACAAAACGTTTAAGTAACATTTATAAATGACTACTACATTCACAAAAAATATATTAAGCATAGAAGATAAATATCAAAGTAAAAAACTGGGAAATATTTTCTTAGTAAATTTGGAGAAAAAATTAGATTTTTTAAGGATTTATCAAAAATCTGTATCCCAAAAATCTGTAACAATTAATGGAGTTCCTACTTCCGACAATATATTCTTACAAACATAAGTATTGCAACTTATTTAGTTTAATATCTTATATCAATTATTTAATAATCTCGACTAATCTAATCCTTGCAGTTTCCTTGTCCAATTTCTTAATAAAATTTTATTTTAATCTAATATCATATACTTTTACTTTGACATGAGCTGTATTTAATGGAAAGAAGTGCTTTGTGAGAAATGCAATTAAACGAAGTCCAATTTTAAAGATTCAAGTCGTCAGAGAAAGACGTAGAGTAGAGATGGTTAGTATATATATATATATATATATATATATATATATATATATATATATATATATACTGCAATATAAATAAGAAATTAGAAACAATTACAAATTACCTTGCACCGATAAGTAGGTAATTGTTTAAAAAAATTGTTGGTTAAGGCGCATTTGCACCTAAAATATGTTGTATATGATATAAATATCAGAGAAGCATATTTTGTTTAAATTTTTACACTATATTGTTTAATTTGTGCAGAAATGAAATGAAGCTGAGTCACTTTAGGTTTGCTGCAGTGACATCATTATTTTAATAAATTAGCCCTTTTATATCTGAATGTAGATTCTTTATATATATAGTGTATATATATAATATATATATTTATCATCATGACATAGTGTCTACATGCCTTGGTATTTAATACATTTTGTCTGAAAAGTTTTATGTGAAAAAACTGTAATAATTTAAATGGTTTTAAAGTGATTTTGCAGAAAATACTTGATTCATCAGAGATAACACGATCCTACTAAAAACTTTAACAATTAAAATAATTTATTATCAAAGCTACATTGTAATGGGCTTAGAATTTTTTTCTTTTCTGATGAATGTGTCACATCTCACAGAGAAAACTGGATATTATAAATATGGTTTTGACAAAGAATTTATTTCTA